TATAGGTCTGTAGATTAGATATAGGTCTGTAGATTAGATATAGGTCTGTAGATTAGATATAGGTCTGTAGATTAGATATAGGTCTGTAGATTAGATATAGGTCTGTAGATATAGGTCTGTAGATTAGATATAGGTCTGTAGGTTAGATATAGGTCTGTAGATTAGATATAGGTCTGTAGATTAGATATAGGTCTGTAGATTAGATATAGGTCTGTAGATTAGATATAGGTCTGTAGATTAGATATAGGTCTGTAGATTAGATATAGGTCTGTAGATTAGATATAGGTCTGTAGTTGGCCAGAACTGAATCAAGATCAGGTTTCTTAAGTAAAGGTTTAATAAAGTTTATTAACCTTTATTCAACCAGGCAAGTCCCACTGAGATCCAAGATCTATTTTGCAGCKCAAGGAGAACATGCAAGCTCCACACAGAAAGACCCCAGGTCTGAATCAGAGATCAAACCCTGTGTGAGTCATCAGTGCTAACCACTGAGCCACCATGCTGCCAGTCTGATGCCATCAAATGTCTAACTCTAATCATGCCCTGCAGCAAGAAATAAAGATTGTTCAAATGAAAATTCCAAACACCTGAGATTGAAGTGCCACCATTTCTGTATCATTCTGTTTGAGTGGAAAGTTTTTATCATTGCTGTACTGGTGCCCTCTAGTGTTCGTTAAAAGTGGCTGCAGAACAATTGGAAGAAAGGAAAGGTTGTTAAAATAAACTTGGATTCATGCACTTAAAACATTCAGGATCAGTTTACATTATTATTATTAATCATTTGTCAAATCAGCTTTAAAGAAATCAAATAGCACTACAGCTACCCAGAACTGTTATCTTTTTCACTTCACATGAACACATGTGAAGTGTAGTGTTGTACGGTTCGGCATGGTTCCAAGCCATTTCCATTAGACCAGATCCATGGAACCAGCACTTTTTTAGTACCTACTTCATTGTGGTTCCAACCGGCCCCAGCTGACACCAAAATATCCTGTCAGAACACTGTTTGTCATTGATTGGCTAAACTTTTGCAAATGTTTAAAATTTCAAAAGTTATATATCAAATGTGTTTCCATCTCTCATTTTGCCAATTAATGTTTTTTCAAAAAACCTAAAAACCACCTCCACCAACCGCCCAAAACACACCCATTGGAACCGGACTGGAACATCAGTGAAAAACCAACCGATCCGACCCGTACCGACCCGTACCTGCACCGACCGTTCCAATACTACACCATGGAAAAGGGGAAAAGGGGCTTTAGTTCCTCTCCTGCAGCTCCTCTGACTTATGGAAGCCCTCAAGGCTCCAGCTTAGGTCCAC